CTTAGCATGACTAGAGCACAGAATATTTAAAAAACGGAACTAAATACAGATAACTGCAGAAGACGATGTTAAAAACATTCAAACCTGGTGTTTTCAATCGTGATATCACCAATATACAGTACCGTCGTCGGGGCTTCTTTTGACACTTTTTTGGTGCTAGCGAACTTTTACATGTCCGTATAAAATAACTAAAGTAGATAATAATAGGATGTGGTGTACATCAAATAGCGATACCATTATGGTATGTAATGAGAAGCATATTAATGGCCAAGCATGATTGTAGACCATTTTCGCCATATAGGGGAAATGGCTCCAATGTTGGCCCATGGATCTAAGATTGGGCCCATCGCTAAAAATCTGCTATTCATCAATTTTATCTAGATGAACGCGTCATTGGGACGGTACTAATGGATATTTTTTGTCGCTATTGAAAATTTAGTTGATTGCTGAATTTATGTATGGGTCCAAATTAGGGGCATTTGTGCCGACATTACATCTATTTCACCTATCCATCTAACCGCAGTCGGAAATGTAAACATAGAGGCTACTTTGGACACGTCATACATTTTCATATTTTTTGCTAATTAAATGGACAAAATCAATCGACATCATAAACTGCACACAAAAACAAACAGCCTGTCCAAATCTCATAGTCAGATCAGTCAAATTACTGATTTGACAGAAATTTTTTAAAAATCGTGAATTTTTTGGTATGGTGCACCCGACCGGGCGATGTAAGATTTGTAAGATGCAGGATATTAGTGGAGACCGTATGAACGAAGGATGAGATATACTGAGCTGCAGTCCAATGCAAGAAAATTTAAACCGAAAAATATGGAGTGTATAAGTGAGAGAAATTAATTATGACGAAAAAAGAAAAAAAAAGGGTGCCGACTGGACTCTAACCACAAACGTTGCGATTATCAGACCTGTGATTTCTCCACTACTCTCTCCATGCTTCGGAACATGGATAGGCTAAAAACGAATAAGAAGCGCTCTTAGTAGTATAATTTGATTTGGCATGCTTTTTCTGCTGAACAGAAATTGAAGAGAATCGACGCAAGTGTGTGCGTCGTTTTACAATGTTATAAATAAAAATCTTGGTGGTATTGTTGAAAGCGTAGACAGAACAAGAAATAAAAAAGATGAAAAATCATTGCATCATCTGCATGACCAACTTATATCATTCTCTGCGGTATTCGCTGCGGAGGATGATAGGAAATGCAACTAACAACTCTTTTTTTTTTTTTTTTTTTTTTTTTTTTTCTTTATTAGAGAGATTTTTAGCCTAAGGCTAGCTCTCTCTCTTTTTGCTTTTCCTGGCCATAACATTGCTTTAAACAATTTTCACATGAAATATCCTGCATAATCCGGTATAACGAATGTTTATCGACTCCCAAGAGGAGCTTGAGAATGTTTTTACAAGTTTCAACAACTATATGGGTAAGTTTTTTGAGTAGGTCTACTTTTTATAAATCTTGTTGGTAATCTTTTCCGCATAATTCTGACAAGCGCTGAATAATACTTGCTGACGATTCTATATGATCGATATACTGCAGTCCCAGAGCAAGTTGTAACGTTACATGAATTAATGATCGGCTCCGTAAAGCTTACGCGATTCAGCTTTTCAAATAAGCGAACTAGATAAAACAAATAGTTGCAGCTCATTGATATTTTTAGGAGATAGAAAAAAATCACGATGTTGTATACTTTTCTTCTTTCCTTTATTTAACGTCGGTGTCTGTTCCGCAATCTAGTGCCAATCACCGACGGACATCGATTGCCATCCATTGACGGCAATCGAATGTGCAGAAAGGCAGCTTCCACACCTGCGTAGGATATCGAACCCATTTAAACACACATGGGCCGGGACCAACGGCTTTACTAATGGATAAATGGATAAAGAGATTTTTATGCCTCAGAAAAATCCCACCGACCTCGACTGGGATTGAACCCAGACCCATTGGGGTGAGAAAGCAATCACACTAACTACTACACCACCGGCGCCGGAAATGTTATATACTTTGGTCCGTTATTGTACGACGCTCTACAGTGAGACATATCTTTTTTTTTTATTTTTAACAACCGAATCGCTCTATGGAACAACATTCAATAGCCAAAAAACGAACAAGACTTGTATACGAGCAAGTTTCAACTAAATCTGAATGATGCATTCTGATGGATGGCACAACATACGTCAAAACGCAATCAACTTCCCGGTCAACATTTTTACATGATAACTGATCGTGGGGATGTCTGGCCTATCCACTTTTGTAAACAAAACTTGTAATGTCCTTTTCGCACGAGCTGAAGTTCACCTACGTAAATAAAGAACACTATCGGGAAGGGAAAAAATTCCCCTACCTGATGGTGTTGTTGGTTTGCATAGAAGCATCGATTCGAGCGAAAAGAGCATTACAAGTTTTGTTTACAAAAGCTGATAGGCCATTTATAAATGTTACACGAGAATTCATTTTCGTTGAAAAAAAATTGCAATGAATGTTATAGTTTGGGAAGAGATCTGCTGCTGTGGACTTAATTTCAAGGTTTCCATCGCATAATGCACAATAACATCGAAGATTTACAAATTAATGTATACTAGTTACTTCTAAATCTATAAATGCTGTCTAAAGTTTATGATTTCAATCGCTAGAGACGCGATGGTACATTCATAGCTGCGTCCAGATTATATATTAATCAGGCTTTATAGTTTGTGCTTGGTGGTCTCATCACTGAATCTCGAATGATGACGTCATCAGATGCCCATATAACCCAAAATTCTAGAAAGTGGAGGTAGGTCAGCCACATATTACGAATGGGTAGAAGCTAAATCTGTAAGCAAGCGCTGGTTCAGAATCCAGTAGGACATCTAAGCAGAGGCCGACCAAGGAAGGAGGTCAAGGAATTAAATAAATCAACGGAAATATTACCTCGGCCTAGAAAAACTCATTAACAATCAAACGTATGTTCCCCGAAAAATAAATGTTTATGTTTCATCCTTTACGTCAAAGTTGAATTTCTTCAAGTAAAACATTAGTTTTTTCTTAGCGCTCAGGATCAACAATGTCAAAACTATCAATTTTTGTACACGAAAACAGTTGGGACCTACTTGTTTATTTTGGTACCGGAAGGTACTGAAACAAGTTTGTCAGCTCAAAAAATAGTTCCAAACATTAACTTTTTTTTGAGCTACGTACGGGTTTTTGAATGTTTATTAAATCTTCCTCCCCCTTGGAATACACTGTAAGATTTTCAGTTATCCTCCTCCCCCTCTAAAATCTTAGTAAAATCTCAAGATTGTCAGAAAATCGTTAAATATTGAGTAATGTTCCCAACTGTCATTAAATCAGTTTATCATATGCTCATATGCATTAAGTATGATCAGTGTTGGAAAAATATCAAAAAATCAAATCGCACCAAAGCCCAAGATCAGGCTTGATTTTTGTTGACAAAAATCAACAAGCACACAACTGCGGTTGATATTCCAAGCTGTGATATCGCAGCTCGGAATATCAAACTAAAAAAACCCACCAGCTGCAAATCTCTCCAAACTGTAGTGAGAATTTAGGATTGGACGAAGCGTGGAGCTTTCCTTAGCTCAGTCGGTAAAGGCGCAGCTATAAAGCAAGACCAGGCAGAAGGCGGCCGGGTTCGATTCCCGGTCCGGTTTAGGAATTTATCAGGTTGGAAAATTTCTCGACCCCCCTGGGCACAGAGTATGATTGTACATGCCAATATATACTAATGCAAAACTGGTACAGGCTAAGAATGCTCTCATTTAACTACTATGGCTCTAAGAACCCTAAGTTGAGAGCCGACGTAAACTTCTAGTGAGGATGCAATAAAGCCAAAGAAGAAGTTATTACGATGCGTAAACAATTCAGACTACCGTGCGGGATAAAAATCCGTGCACCTCATAAAAGTAGACAATTTTTATGAAGTGTACGGATTTCGAATAATTTCTTAGTTGTACGGATTTTGGTCCCACACGGTACACATCGTCAACAAGTTTTTCTGGAACGATTATAATGCAGACAAATCATCAAATGCATCCCTCTTACCGCGCTCAAAGTTTTAACCGGACTGCCACCACAAGTTCGGCACTTCAGAAAAAAAAAGTTACGTCTAACAAAACAGCAGCTTGAAGATTTTAATACGTCCGCCGGTAAACCGAAAAGACCGCCCGGGCAGAGGCCCATTTCAGTTTCTGTAGAAAAAAATGCGTCAATCTCTCCCACCTTTATCCCCACCGGAGCGTCACTTTTCATCAGCACTAATTAGCAGCATTCAAAATAGCTATATTCTGATCTTGGAAGATAGCGCACTCTGTCTTAGATCTTTCGAGATGGGGTTTTATTAGCCATTTTATGCCTCTTCTCCCGAAGCTGATGAGCGGCGGTCACCCACCGGAGGAGGCTGGCTCCGACTGACCGCATATCACATAATGTGTGTTTGGATATCTCCAAAGTTGGTTGCTTGGTGGTTGATTGTTTGCTCAACGATGATGTTAAACAAGCGACATATAGTAGGGGACGAGGAGATACTTTTTAAATGCCTTTTTTTTTTTGTTTGCCCAGACTCGTTCATTTGATATCATTAACTTTCGGCTACCTGTTTGTCGTCAGGAGTCTCGGATTCACACGTCGCCTATCAACGTATAAATTAATTTATTATGGATATTCATTTCAGAGAGCGCTAGAGCCGATGGTTGCCATCAATTCGATGTACCACGGTATCTCGTGCTTTTGAGAGTGCTCCTGGTTTTGTTTTCTCCTATAGTTTGACGGCGAGATGTTTGGTACGATTACAAATCAACCGTCATAAAAGAAACAACACATGTCAGAGCTACTGTGCAGGTTTTGTGGCTGGACATAAACAACGTCACAAAAGTCTATCTGCATTCTCCGGCTTAAAACTCGACTTATGTTAACCTTCATTGAAATAGATATTGATTTTCTTTTCTTGTAGTTACCCTTTGACATTAAGTTCTCGTTTTCACACCATCGATGGCTTGAGCAGCATAAAAATGTATTCGTTTCACTTACCAAACCCTGTCTGTACATGATAAGCAACTCGTTTTGCATACAACTATTTCGAATACAGTTACTTAATATTTGCTGGATATGCTGGTAAATCCGTGACCAAAACAGATCGATGATATGAGGCCTTATTCATGAGGACATTACTCACCTGCAAGTAGAAGAAAAAAGCAAAAAAGATAATTCATCACAGTAATACATTCAAGCTGAATGGTTTTATCTCAATAGTCATCCAAGTGAGAAGAAGATCCAATAAACGTGCATCGAGTTGCGATTGCCGATTTGAAATGTTCATAAATTAAGATTTCGGCTACCATGGCTAGCGCAGCCAATTATGCTGTAGAGGCCTATCTGAAGATTGGTTTCATGGGTTTCTGACTCAGTTCACTTTTTGTACTGGGCAACACACTTCATGATAATTTTTCACAATGTAAGTCAACAGTTAATAAACATTGGTTAGTTGGTTGGTTGGTTATCTTTATTAAGGAGATTTGAAGTCAGATGCTAGTTCATATTCAACGTTAAAAAAGTATTAATCTTAGTGTGCAGTTAACAATTTAACCTTTGGTCTTTTAGCTCAGCCAACACTAGAAAATCACAGATTTTTTTTTACCATAAAACTCCAGATGCTTTGACGACAATTCCTAACTTTTAAAAGTTGATTATGAAGGTAAAATATGCTCTGAATGCCACGTGAATTCTATGTGGGTTCTAATCGTCCATGTTCATAAACCATAATTATTATGTTGCTAAGTAAATGTAATATTGAATACAAAAAAAAAGATAAATCCGGAATGAAAAACCGTACAACATTCGACTTACTATGGCATCCATATTCAAATTATAGAACTGTATTTTCTTGAATTGTCCAGATAATGATAATGAATAATAATATAATATTTTTAGAATACGTGTTGAACTAAAAAAAAAATGCATAAGTGAGATCAATCTTGCCGAAAAGAGCAATGAATTAATTTAAACAATTGTGTTTATTCTACGCAAGTCAAAACATAATTGATCACGTGCATGCATCCAACTTATTTAGTGTCTACGGCGACATGTTTCTCCGATGGCACCAATCCATCAAAAGCATAACCAGAGGGCTCAATCATTATCGCCTTTGACATCATTATGTTATCCTTTTTGTTGTGTTTTGCTACGAATAAAGCAGAATATTTTGGGTGCTCAGCGGGAAGTGATGCGTTGTATATTGAAATAAAATTAGCTCTATACCAATGGAAGATGTGATACAGCTATATTCCTGCTCCGACGTGGTTGATCTCATTTTGATATGGGTGAGCGCATGCACTTCAAGTGTCAACTGTCAAAACATGTGCGACTGATCTTTTTCACTTCATGTTGTCAGCGGTGCTTCCGTCACCCGTGCGTGCGTGCGTGCCACCTTCCATCGGAATATTATAGATGATGCGATCGAAACGAAAAGCAGATGAGCAGCTGTTTCAGAGCCTTTGCGAGCTTACGTGTGTGGGATAAAATTCGTCGCACGCTTCCGAGAGAGACAAATGCATTGGACGAAATATAATTTATTTTATGATACCTTCTGTTTTGAAAACAGTGCAACGGAACGACATTAATAGAGTGCATCTCTTTCGCGCATCTCGTGATGGATATGTCTCAATCTTCGTTGCCGGATATATTTCATGGAGAGGCGCATGTCTTTGTATCACATTTTTTATTACCATTACGCGCCCTCACTTCGAAACGTGTTAAATGGCCTACATCGTTTTCGGGAGGATTTCAATACTTATATGAATTTCAAACAAATTACGGGTGTTCTTTTTTTCCGTTTTGCTCTAAATAAAAAACAAGCGATGTCATATTTTTTACCACCAAGATAGATGTTAACCTTATAACATCGTGATGTCACGGCACACGCATATTTCATTCTACGATCGCTTTTCCCCACGGTTTGTCTCCTGGTACGCGGTATGCCTACCGTATAGTTTTTCTCTACCCGGATTCAGATTAGGAAGATGTCGAAAACAAGAAAAAAAAGCGAACTCTAAGCACGAGAACAACGAACGTAATTTATGCACCAGACGATCTCTTGTTTTCGAGTGAACAGAGAAGAAGCTGAAAATAATTAGGCGTCTATTTCTGGGTTATAGATCGAAACGTAAATCAACTGTATAGTAGAAAATTGGACTAGTATTACAAGGTTGTCAGCACTAATTAAAACTTTATTGGGGATTTCAGAAGGATTTGGTAAAGTAAATGGAGTACAAAAAGGGTCTTTCACCGCTTTTAGTGCACTAGGGCGCTGAGAAAATAACAATCGAAAGATTATTTTGCTGCAAATATCAGTGCATATTATTCCGATGGAACAGTTGTTACCTTAGATTCTAATTATTCACTATAACCCTAGAACATGCTGTCTTTCCCATAATTATTGATGGAGCATTGGATCCAATTTTTAAAACTTATTAATTAGTTTGCACTAGTTCTATACGTTTAAAACATGATTCAAGATAGACTTAAGGTAACACTGGAACTTAATGTTTGCAGACAAATTTAAAAACATAATATTGCGAGTTACCAGGATACGTTGTGGCAAACTTTATAAACTCAAATTTCGCATTAATGTGCAAGTTATCTGCATACATCTGCAGTTCCATTTCAATTAACGATTTTTTTTAAATTTTTGATCGACCTTCTACGATTATGCACAGTTGTTTGTTATTGTTCAAAATGCACAATATGTATGGTTCCTTAGTTTAGTACACGACTAACACTTGAAAAGAGCTTAGGCAGAAATGATACGCATCAATAGAAAAACATATATCTCGTGAACGATTTGTTTGACGAGATGATATCTTCGAAGAAGTTGCGGACAAGTATTCTGCCTTTCAAGAAAAAAATCTACACTGTAAAAAAATATTTTATTATTTACATAAAAAAAATCAAAAAATCTCCAACGCTCCACTATGCTTCATAGTGGAGCGTTGGAGACGGTTAAGGTCCGGCATCGTTGGCTCATGCCGTGGCAGAATAGCATCATGAGCATGCGATGAGGATTACTGAGCTTCCCTTCTCTGATGAACCACTGCATGAGTAAATCAAAGATCTAGTCTAGCAATGATAGTATCACTATTGTTTTCCTTTGTTTGAGAGTCGCGTTGTAGTACGCTTACGTATAGGCACTGACGTTGGGTGCGATACTGGCGATTACGATTTTCCGCAAATCACTCTTATTTTATTTATTTTTACACAAATAGAATTATTTGGGAATACACGGGAATCATACTATTCAAATGTTTCAGAAAGTGCCCAACAGTGCTCCTTCTACTTGCGTGACAAGTTTTCATTGTTGTTTTCATTGATGTATTATTCAGGAAACAATGATAAACACCATTTTTGTACATGGTACTGTAACTAGGGTGACTGATGATGGTTGGACCTATTTAGGCCGGTTTCACACGACGTCAACATTCATGTCGTATTTTTTTATGAATTCAACATATAATTATGAAAAATCCGTGATTAGGGGAAAGATCTACCTTTCTTGTTTCTAATAATAACATATAAAGTTAAATATTATGAACAAATGATTTTATAAAACGTTTTTATTCAGCAAAGAATTATGATGTTGGTTGGACCTATACTGATCTTGGTTGGACCTAAAATATGATGATGGTGGACCTATTTTTGCAAATGCTAGCTTAGCCCATATTTGTTCAAAAACTTTGTTTAGGGTTTTTTGGTATCATAAAAAAAAACTTTTTATACAGTTTTTATGAATTTTCTTCAAAAATCAAGAAATTTGAGTTTATCTTCGTTTTTAAAAAAGTTCATTTTCCACGCATTAGCTATTCATCATGGCACATTTTCTAGAAAATCATTGACCCGATTTGGAAAATTTTTAACGCCAAACTATAGGTATTGTGGTCCCATTGAAAGCTATCGAATATTTTTGGAATCGGTCAACTGGTTCCGGAGATATGGCCGGAACAAGTTCCAGGGTATATGGAACATGGACCTAATTTTGACATGTCAGGAATAAAACCTATCATGCGACACTTCACATTACTTCCAAATTCTATAACAAGATAAATAACAAAATTGAGTGCCTTAGACCACATTGGCCACTTCCATGACAGAATATCAGAACTTAATTTCGGTTTTATAGTTTTTTTTCTCCTGGGAGTTTTTTTTTTCGGAATTTAGCAGCTTCCAAGATCTTTTTGGTCGTCTTGGGACTGCCAGAAGCAGCACACACACAAACCCAATCCCCTAGCTGGTTCTCCAAATCAACACTCAACACTATTTCCCTTCCATATTTCTTGCCGTGGCTTCCCTTAATTTTTGCGTGAAGTGTCGTTTTCGGAATATTGTACCTTTTCTGTGCCTAATACGCGGTAAGTGATTTATTTCTTATTAAAAGAACAGCCTCTTGAAGATTTTCGACCGTATAACTCTTTTCTTTAGCCATTTTTTCAATCGAAGAAACAGATCACTCGGCCAAAACGAAGTCGAATTTCAAATCAGCTGCGCATGAAGGAAGTAGACAAACCGAAGCGCACCTAGCGGCCGTCTTAGGAAACACATAGGTCCAACCATCATCATGCGTAGGTCCAACCATGATCATATTTATCTATTCGAATTTCGTCAATTATTCAAACATTTTAGTGAAACCAATGGATAAATGGCGTGCTAACGTATTGTTTACACCTTAAAGCAGTATTTTACTGCATGAAAATAAAAATAAATGTAAAAAATATTCCTTTTTTGTATGTTTGAAAGTAAGGCATGATGACGAGCTAATGCGTGGAAAGTGAACTGTTTTGAAAACACATTGAAACTCAATTGTTTTGAAGTTTTTTTTCAATAAAACACCCATGCAAGTTGAAGAAAAAGAGTTTTTTTATGATAGTAAAGTGATCTTTGAAAATAAAAATTTAGCTAAGATTGACTAAACTAGCGATTGAAAAAATAGGTCCAACCATCATCAGTTTTTGGATTGGTCCAACCAGAATCAATTACCCTAATGTTATATATGCTTCATTTTGGTTCGGGATAAGTGTTTGAACTATGACTCGGGATTTCCGCTGTGGCGTGCTTCTATTGTGACATATCTATACGTAATTTTGTGGGATGACATAAGGGAATCGTGTGAGCGTAGTTGAAGCATAT